GGCAGTGTGTTTTGCTTCCTTTCTCCCCTTCACCCACATTTGGCATTTCTCCCCAGGCTATCCCTCTCTACCTCCCCCTCCCACTGGCCCTCTCCTTGTCCCCCCAATAGACCCCAGTGTTTAGTACTCCCCTCTCTGTGTCCATGTGTTCTCATTTTTCATCACCCGCCTATGAGTGAGAATATGCGGTGTTTCATTTTCTGTTCTTGTGTCAGTTTGCTGAGAATGATGTTCTCCAGATTCATCCATGTCCCTACAAACGACACAAACTCATCATTTATGATTGCTGCATAATATTCCATGGTGTATATCTTTGTATTTTTTTTGTATTTTACTGTAATGTCTCCTTTTGTATCTGTGATTTCATTTATGTGGGTCTTCTATCTGATCTTTAATTTTCTGGGCAACACCAAGTTGTTTCCACCTTATAGTTATATATTAGACTTTTCCTCTTACTGGAATGTTCTTCCTTCCACCCATCTTTGCATGCCTGGCTTCCTGGTATCTGTCAAGTCTCATTTCAAATATGACCTCCTAGGCAAGCCTTCTTCCACCATTTCTGTCAGTTTCACTCTATCCCATTAATTTTACTTTCTTCTTAGCAGTTATTATGCTTAAAATTTAGCAGCTTGTATCATAGTGTTTAACAGTGTCTCCTTCATCACTCCAAATTCAGGTAGAGGATGGGCAGGAGAGAATAGATCTTTTTTTTGAAATCTTGCCCAGTGTTGTATCTCTAGCATCTAGCCCAGGTTCTAGCTTGGTGCCATAGTCTGTGAACTGTTTCTTACCAGTTTTCCAAAATATAAACCAACACAGAGCATTCTCCTAAGAAAAAAGAAAATCAGCTAAACCAAACAATGTTCCTGGTGACTTATTTGGTTTATATTTGGACACAAACTTCCTTTCTGCCCATGGACCTCTAACAGTTTTTGGACTGCTATGGTCCACCGACTACACCTTGAGTAGCATTGATCTAGTTTCTAAGAGGGGCTGGAAGATTTCATTCCATCAAAAGCTAAAAGATAACAAAATGTAAGAGGTTTAATAAAATACTTGATAGTTTTAATAGATTGTTTATATTTCAGGTATTATAATCAGTTATAACTTCTTAGTAAAACGAATTGCTTGCATTTAGCTTGTGAGAAGTAGGGTGGTGTCATCAGAAAAGTCTATTAATAGCTATTAGAGCCAGGTGAGAATAGAGCGTGAGAGGAAAGGCCAACCCACTAAAGCAGCAGATAAAGCTTAATACCAGAAGTCCTATTAGAAAGTAGGACAGACATGGAATGTTCTAATGACAACTAAGGAGAGCGTTATTTCATCTTCCCAGAGAGATCAGCATACAGTACACCAAATAGAAAAAGAACTCTAAACTCGAAGAGGTTAGTGGGCTTGAAAAACACCTTTCTATACCTACATAATCAGAGGCGGTGAAGATTTCCATGAACAAAAATAAAAAGCTTAAGATTCCAATAAATCAATAAATTCAGTTGTTATAATAACTTGCATTTATGGAGTAGTGCCTATGTACTAAGTACTGTGGCATATCCATTATGTCAATGAATGTCCTCTGCCATTCTTTAGGGCAGATACATCTGTTATTCACTTTAATTGAGGCTTAAATATGTAGCAAGTAGCAGAACCAGTATTTACACAAAAGAGTCTTAAATGAGAGTCTATGCTCCTAAAATTTATGCATACAGCCTTCCTATGTAAGAAGCTTAATCTGAAATAGTCACAGTAAAAAAGAAGTCAGAGAAGGAGTCAAGAGAAAGATTCTAAATACCAGGTCATGGATGAGATATGAGATTGAATGCAGGGTGATAAGTGCTGAAAAATAGCTGTTTACCAGAAGACCCACGAAGCCTAAATGTCTAAAGTTAGGGATTATTTTCTTTGGTTCTTGAAAGCTTTTCCTGTTACCAAGATCTCATAATAACAAGGGAGAAATAAAAAGTTCTGAAATTTGCCCCCTACTGTATCAGAATCTCTGAATTTGTGAATCCGCATTTTTAAAATGCTCCCCATGTGATTCTGATGAACAGACAAATTTGGAAACCATTGCCTCAAGCTAATCCTTTATGAAAAAATGGTTGGGAGTTTACTCAATGACAGACTGGTGGTGTTTGGACAGTGAGAAAAAGGTAGGAAAAAAGAAAGCATTAAATAGAAACAACATGATTTTTCCTTGCCAAGAAGAATTTTTTTTAAACACTTTATCTCTTTCAGGGCACTGAGGGACTTTGCAGCAGACTGACCCAATGTACTAAATAGAAGAAGAATTGCATATTGGATGGGTCCTACTTTGTCTCTTGGAGAAACAGGTGTCTTGGGGATAGAAAACTCAAATGAATACAGTATCATCCTGTGGACAGACAGCTGGAAGACAACAGTAAGTGTCCTAAAGAGAATGAACATGGTTCACAAGTGAGTTCTTCATATCAAAATCACATATATTAGGAACTTTTTTTTCTAATGATGAATTGATATTCTGCCTGCTACTTTTGCATGTCACTGTGACTCTTACACTTATACAATGGAAAATGGAACTACATGGCAGGAATCCTTGGAAGATTGTATTAGTCTGTTTTCACATTGCTATAAAGAACTACCTGAGACTGGGTAATTTATGAAGAAAAGATGTTTAATTGACTCATAGTTCTGCAGGCTTAGCAGGAAGCATGACTAAAAGGTCTCAAGAAACTTACAATCTGGTAGAAGGCAAAGGGGAAGCAAAGACCTTGACCTTCTTCACATAACGGTAGGAGAGAGACACTGAGGGTGAACTGCCACACACTTTTAAAGCATAAGATGTCATGAGAACTCCCCTACTATCACGAGAACAGCATGGGGAAAATCGTGCCCCTGATCCAATCCCCTTCCACAAGGTCCCTACCCTAACATGTGGGGGTTACAATTCGACATGAGATTTGGGTGGTGTATTAGTCTGTTCTCACATTGCTATAAGGAAATAACCAAGACTGGATAACTTACAAAAAAAAAAAGTGGTTTAATTGACTCACAGTTATGCATGGCTGGAAAGGACTCAGGAAACAGAACCATGGTGGAAAGTGAAGGGGAAGAAAGGCACCTTCTTTACACGGTGGAAAAATGGAGTGAGTATAAGCAGGAGAAATGCCAGCTGCTTATAAAGCCATTAGATCTCATGAGACTCAGAAACTATCAGGAAAACAGCATGGAAGAAACTACCTCCACAATCTAGTTACCTCCACCCTGGGTCCCACCCGTAGCACCTAGAGATTATGGGGATTATGAGGATTATAATTTAAGATGAGATTTTGAGTGGGGATACAGCTAAACCATATCAAACATAAACAAATACTGGGAAAATCTCAGAAAGCAAGTAGGTCTCAAATTGAGGCTCAGCTTCGTGTTCTTCTCTATGCCCATTTGTGGCCCTGAGTACAGCTGATTTTTTTTTTTTTTTTTTTTTTGAGACGGAGTCTCACTCTGTCACCAGGCTGGAGTACAATGACACGATCTTGGCTCACTGCAACCTCCGCCTCCTGGGTTCAAGCAATTCTCCTGCGTTAGCCTCCTGATGGGACTACAGGCACCTGCCACCACGCCCAACTAATTTTTGTATTTTTAGTAGAGACGGGGTTTTACCATTTTGGCCAGGCTTGTAGCGAATTCCTGACCTTGTGATCCACCTGCCTCTGCCTCCCAAAGCGTTGGGATTACAGGCAGGAGCCACTGCATCCGGCCTGAGTACAGCTGATTTTCTATCAACCTATGCCCACTGGTCAGGTGTATCTGTTAAAATATGCCATGAGACTCATAATGCCTTATCTAACATTGGCAATATCCATTATATTCAAGTATTGTTTTCAAGTTAATTTAACCTATAAGAGATCAGGAGGAGCAGCAAGACTATTTTAAGAAAAGTCCACATTATAATGAAATATGAATTATCCTTTATCTGTAGCTCTTAATGCAGTACAGAAGACACTAGTTCATTTGTATCATTAGATAATGATGATGCTGGTAATAACGCTTCATATTTGACATAAGTGAATCCTAAATTGAAGTCTTAGAGAAACAGTGAAAATACCTGTATTTTTTACTGAATTTCAGAGTATTTACACAAAATTTATTGATTACTTAACTCATAACCATAAAAGTAGAAACAAGAGGAAGCTTATGCCAGATGTTTGCCTAGGATTGGCACATATTTATTGGAAGATTATGAGAGTTATTGAGAGCAAGTCTAGCTATCATCTGTTTAATTTTTTTAAAATTATAAGTATCAGAAAAGTTTACTTGATTTAGAAGATTTTAAAATGTCATTATTTGCACAGTACATGCAAGCAAGAAGATTTAACTGTCACTAGTTTCTAAGAAAGTGTAACATTAGGTTACACAAGTGTGGGGGAAACAAAGACATTTTCATTCATTAAATGTGTGAATTCACTATCATGTTGCATGATATTGAATGTATGAAATGTGAGATTCATAATATTAGCATGTGTTAAATTCAGGTATTTATATTTGGATACTCACATGAAATCCATGTGCACAGTCAGTGCTTTCAGCAAAATGGTGAGAAAATATATCTAATTTATTTTAAATAATTGATATATTTGCTTCATTACAGGTGAGAAAGTAGAGGAAAGTACATGAGAAGAAAGACTGAAGAAAAATAATAAATATTTGTAAACCTGAAATTGGTTTGAGGTTTGGCACAAGTGCAAGATAGAGTTTAAGATCATTTCTTATTTCATCTAAACAAATCTTCTTAGGCTAGGTGATAATATATAAGGGGATATAATCTATAAAATCTTTTAAGTCGGAGAGGGTGCCAAGATGGCAGAGAGAAGCCAGAACCGGAACGCAGCTCCCAGCGCATGAGACACAGAGGGCTAGAGGACTTCAGGATTCCAAACGAGGTGCTGGGTTGGTTTTTATGGAACTGATAGGGCTCTGAAAATAGGCCCAGGGAAGGAGTCGTGGGGCGGGGAGAGGGGCATCCCCACCTGAAACGTGCAGCTGGCTCGGACTGTTGGGGGACTTAACCGTTTTGGTGCTCTGAATAGGATTCTGTGCTTTCCTCATCCCTCCTGCAACCCATGGTCCACGAGAGCCCTGCCAGACAGTGGGGCGCTGAGCATAGCCGATGCAAATCTGAGGAGCGGCTACCACCAGGGGAGGCAAGTTGTCACAGGGACCTGGGCCAGAGTTTGGACTAACGCCAGCGGGATGGACTGCCCCACAGAGGGAGGCAGAGTTGAAAGCAGGGAAACGTCATAACGCCTGGCAGGCCCCACCTCCACAGAACTCAAACTGACGCCCTCGCTGGAGAGCTTGGCAGCAAATACACCAGCTTGACCCCAAGCAGGAAGATCCAGCTGGGGAAGGAGAGATGCCATTGGGAAGGTGGGGCCAATCTCACCTGCAAACAGACTCCAGGGAAGGACCACCACCCAGCAACCTGACTGAATCCTAGAGAGCCTAGCAATGCCCTCTACAGGCCAAAAAGGATACAGGTACAACCTCAACAAAAAGTACACTCAGAGACTCTTGAAATCACCAACTTCAAAGATTAAAAGGAGATAAATCCACAAAGATGGAAAACACCAGTGCAAAAAGGATGAAATCATCAAAGAACAGAACAATTCTCCTCCCAGGGATCACAACTTCTCACCATCAAGGGAACAAAAACAGACAGAATGAATCTGACCAATTGACAGAAGCAGGCTTCAGAAGGTGGGTAATAACGAAGTTCTCTGAGTTAAAAGCCCATGTTCTAACCCAATGCAAAGAAACTAAGAACCTTGAAAAAAGGTTTGACGAAACACTAACTAGAATAACCAGCTTAGAGAAGAACATAAACGACTTGACGGAGCTGAAAAACACAGCACGAGAACTTTGTGAGGTATACACAAGTTTCAACTGAATCTATCAAGCAGAAGAAAGGATATCAGAGATAGAAGATCAGATCGATGAAATAAAATGAGAAGGCAAGATTAGAGAAAAAAGAGTGAAAGACAATGAACAAAGCCTCCAAGAACTATGGGATTATGTGAAAACACCTAATCTACATCAGTGTACCTGAATGTGATGGGGAGAATGAATCCAAGTTGGAAAACACTTTTAAAGACGTTATCCAAGAGAACTTTCCCAGCCTAACAAGGCAAGCCAACATTCAAATCCAGGAAAAACTGAGAACACCACAAAGATATTCCTTGAGAAAAGCAACCCCAAGGCACATAGTTGTCAGATTCACTAGGGTTGAAATGAAGGAAAAAATCCTAAGGGCAGCCAGAAAGAAAGGTCAAGTCACCCAAAAAGGAAAGACCATCAGACTCACAGTGGATCTCTCAGCAGAAACCTTGCAATCTAGAAAGGAATGGGGGCCAATATGCAACATCCTTAGAAAAAAGAACTTTCAACCCAGAATTTCATATCTGGCCAAAGTAAGCTTCATAAGTGAAGCAGAAATAAAATCCTTTATGGACAAGCAATTGCTGAGAGATTTCGTCACTACAAGACCGGCCTTACAAGAGCCACTGAAGGAAGTACTAAACAGGGGAAGGAATAACCAGTACCAGCCACTGCAAAAACATACCAAATGGTAAAGAACAATGATGCAATGAAGAAGCCACATCAACCAACAGGCAAAACAACCAGCCAGTAACAAAATGGCAGGATCAAATTCAAACACAGCAATATTAACATTGAATGTAAAATGCCTAAATGCCCCAAGCAAAAGACACAGACTGGCAAACTGGATAAAAACTCAAGATCCATCGGTGTGCTGCAAAGACTCACATAGACTCAAAATAAAGGGTTGGAAGATTTACCAAGCAAATGGAGAGCAAAAATAAAAAGCAGGGGTAGCAATCCTAGTCTCTGATAAAATGGACTTTAAACCAACAAAGATAAAAAGAGACAAAGAAGGGCATTACATAATGGTAAAAGGATCAATGCAACAAGAAGAGCTAACTATCCTAAACATATATGCACCTATTGCAGGAACACCCAGATACATAAAGCAAGTTCTCAAAGACCTACAAAGAGATGTAGACTTTTGCAAAATAATAGTGGGAGACTTCGACACTCCACTGACAATATTGGACAGGTCAATGAGACAGAAAGTCAACAAGGATATCCAGGACTTGGATGCAGATTTGGACCAAATGGACCTAATGGACATTTACAGGACACTCCAGCCCAAATCCACAGATTACACATTCTTCTCAGCACCCTGCACTTACTCCAAAATTGACCACATAATTGGAAGTAAATCACTCCTCAGCAAATGGAAAAGAATGGAAATCATAACAAACAGTCTCTCAGACCACAGCATAATCAAATTAGAACTCAGAATTAAGAAAAGCACTCAAAACCTACAATCAGATGGAAACTGAACAACTTGCGCCTGAATGATGAATAGATAAACAAGGAAATGAAGGAAGAAATAAAAATGTTTGGTGGGAGTGTAAATTAGTTCAACCATTGTGGAAGACAGTGTGGCAATTCCTCAAGGCCTTAGAAATAGAAATTCCATTTGACCCAGCAATCCCATTACTGGGTATATATCCAAAAGACTATAAATCGTTCTACTATAAGGACACATGTACACGAATGTTCATTGCAGCACTGTTTACAATAGCAAAGACCTGGAATCAACCCAAATGCCCATTGATAATAGACTGGATTAGAAAAATGTGGCACATATACACCATGGAATATTATGCAGCAATCAGAAATGATGAGTTTGTGTCATTTGTAGGGACATGGATGAAACTGGAGAACATCATCCTCAGCAAACTGACACAAGAACAGAAAATGAAACACCGCATATTCTCACTTATAGGCGGGTGATGAAAAATGAGAACACATGGACACAGAAAGGGGAGTACTAAACACTGGGGTCTATTGGGGGGAAAAGGGGAGGGCCAGTGGGTGGGGGAGGTGGGGAGGGATAGCCTGGGGAGAAATGCCAAATGTGGGTGAAGGGGAGAAGGAAAGCAAAGCACACTGCCATGTGTGTACCTATGCAACTGTCTTGCATGCTCTGCTCATGTACCCCAAAACCTAAAATCCAATAAAAGAAAAAATGTTCTTTGAAACCAACGAGAATGAAGACACAATGTACCAGATCCTATAGGACACATTTAAAGCAGTGTCTAGAGGGAAATTTATAGCAATAAAGGCCCACATGAGAAACAAGGAAAGACCTAAAATTGACACCCTGTCATCAAAATTGAAATAGCTAGAGGAGCAAGGTAAAAAAAAAAAAAAAAAAAAAAAAAACCTCAAAAGAAGGCAGAAGACAAGAAATAATTAAGATCAGAGAAGAACTAAAAGAGAGAGAGACACCAAAAAACCTTCAAAAAAATCAATAAATCCAGGAGCTGGTTTTTTAAAAAGATCAACAAAATAGACAGATGGCTAGCTAGACTACAAAAAAGAAGAGAGAGAAGAATCGAATAGATGTAATAAAAAACAATAAAGGGGAGATCACCACTGATTCCTCAGAAATACAAACTACCATCAGAGATTACTACAAACAACTCTATGCCCATAAACCAGTAAATATGGAAGAAATAGATAAACTCCTGGACACTTGCACACTCCCAGGACTAAGCCAAGAAGAAGTTGAAACCCTGAATAGACCAATAAAAGGTCTGAAGTCAAGGCAGCAATTAATAGCCTATAGACCAAAAAAAGTCCAGGTCCAGATCAGTTCATAGCTTAATTCTACCAGACATACAAAGAGGAGCTGGTACCATTCCTGTTTAAACTATTCCAAACAATATAAAAAGAGGGAATCTTCCCTAACTCTTTCTATGGGACCAACATCATCCTGATACCAAAATCTGCCAGAGACACAACTAAAAAAGAGAACTACAGGCCAATATCCATGATGAATATTGATGCAAAAATCTTCAATAAAATACTGGCAAACAGAAATCCAACAGCACATCAAAAAGCTTATCTACCATGATCAAGTAGGCTTCATCCTGGAGATGCAAGTCTGGTTCAACATATGCAAATCTAAAAACATAATTCACCACATAAACAGAACCAAATACAAAAACCACATGATTATCTCAATAGATGCAGAGAAGGCCTTTGACAAAATTCAACAGCTCTTTATGCTAAAAACTCTCAATAAACTAGGTATGGATGGAACATAACAAAAAACAATAAAAGCTATGTATGACTAACCCACAGCCAATATCATACTGAATGGGCAAAAATTAGAAGCATTCCCTTTAAAAACTGGTACTAGAGAAGGATGCCCTCTCTCACCACTCCTATTCCATGTAGTATTGGAAGTTCTAGCCAGAGCAATTAGGCAAGAAAAAGAAATAAAGGGCATTCAATTAGGAAAAGAAGAAGTCAAATTGTCCCCATTTGCAGATAACGTGATCGTATATTTAGAAGACCTCATTGTCTCAGCCCAAAATCTCCTTAAGCGGATAAGCAACTTTGGCAAAGTCTCAGGATATAAAATCAATATGCAGATATCACAAGCATTCCTGTACATCAATAACAGACAAACAGAGAGCCAAATCATGAACAAACTCACATTTACAAGTACTACAAAGAGAATAAAATACCTAGGAATACAACTGACAAAAGAGGTAAAAGATCTCTTTAAGGAGAACTACAAACCAGTGATCAAGGAAATAAGAGAGGACACAAACAGATGGAAAAACATTCCATGCTCATGGTTAGGAAGACTCAATATTGTGAAAATGGCCATACGACCCAAAGTCATTTATAGATTCAATGCTATCCCCATCAAACTACCATTGACCTTCTTCGCATAACTGGAAAAAAATCACTTTAAACTTTATATAGAACCAAAAGAGAGCCTCCATAGCCAAGACAATCCTAAGCAAAAAGAACAAGCTGGAGGCATCATGCTACCTGACTTCAAACTATACTACAAGGCTACAGTAATCAAAACAGCATGGTACTGGTATGAAAACAGAGATGTAGACCAATGGAACAGAGCAGAGACCTCGGAAGCAATGCCACACATCTACAACCATCTGATCTTTGATAAACTGGACAAAAACAAGCAATGGGGAAAGGATTCCCTGTTTAATAAATGGTGTTGGGAAAACTGGTTAGCCATAGACAGGAAGCTGAAACTGTACCCCTTCCTTACACCTTATACAAAAATTAACTCCAGATTGATTAAAGATTTAAGCATAAGAATTAACACCATAAGAATCCTA